CCTCTGTTCAAACACGGTCCACTCCCTTTTTGTTGCTCTCGCTGTTGTTTTGAGTCTTTTGATCATACCGGGTACAACGACCCCATGCCTGTTCGTACTCGGAAAAGAGAGCTCGCGGCTCTTTTCAGTTTTTGGTTGGCTGAACAAGCAAGGGTCTCCATTGCCGTGCCAAGGATGACCCTTGCCACATTCAACACACAAATGAGCGCTCTTGCACTGATCTCCGAAACGGCAGCCGAGCGAGCAGTTGAACCACGGGCACCGTTTCTTCCCTGAATATTTGAACGAAGTGATCTTTGACCACTCTGCTGCTGGCACCCGAGCGTCTTTCTTGGGCTGCTCACGACCATCACGATCTTTGTGTTGGACCTGCGCACGAGCGGCTTGGAGCGTCTTCTTGGCCCGCTCGCGACGAGCTTTGTTCTTCTTGGCCCGAGTGGTTGGAGGACCTTTGGTCGGAGTCTCCGAGCGATCGTTGGTGTGGATGGAGCACTGTGATTAAATTGGCTTGCTTGAACTTCTCAGTTCGGCACTTGACCGAGCGTCATTCCAGAGCTGTTTGTGATTGTTCAACACCTCAAGCAGAGCACTGGAGTATGTAGGGAATTGCTTCCTGTGATCGGAGTTCAAGCGATACACCTTCTTCCTGATCAGGGAGTCGACCGACAACAACAGAGCAAGGCCATGATTATCATGGCGCCATTCCTCGAGCTCAGACAGGTAGCGAAGTGGCCCTGCCGCATGCGAGAAATCACAAATGTTCAAGTATTCAAGCGCGATCAGAAAAGCGTGGAGCTTGTCCATGACCTGAGACTCGGATGCAGCTGATGAGGGTTGATCCACCGCCACAACTTTCAAAAGATCTTCTGCGTTCTTCGAGAGCCCGCTCTTCTGAGCGATCTGCTCGCTACGAGTGCGGAGCTCTCCGACCTCATAGAATGGCACGGAGCCGTGCACCAGAAAATCGCGCTGCAGACGTTCGACCAGTTTCCGATGAGGTTCACGATGGTGAGGCAACAGCACGTCCGGATGACGTACGACAAACTGCTCACGAAATTCTGCATGGTCATCTCCCGGGATTTCCGGAACTTTGGATGGATCCTCCTCCATCTTGGCTCTACGAGCGAAATGATCTTGAAGAGTCGAGCAAGTCTTCCAAACTGCAGCGATCGATGTCAGGGCAAGTTCTTGTTCCCCTGGTGAAGGGCCTAGCAACGACTCATCTGAGATGATCACTTTAACTGCCGTCTTGACGGAAGCGATGGTGTCACCGAGCATAGCGAATGCTTCAACTGTAAGAAGTTTCCTATCAGCAACAACACGGCGCAAATCGGTCGAGAGCCTCTGACGACCAAAGATTTGGCGTAAGGCCAGCTCAGGGGTCCTATCAGGATCATAAGTGGTACGATCGACCATGAGTGCGCGCGTCGAGCCCGGTGCAAGTTGCTTGAACAAAAAAACTTCGGCACACAAGAAAAAGGCTGCGGATGAAACCAAACGACCGACCCCCGCTCGTGACCGACGATGAAGCCCCGAAGCGAGCCAGGGAGACCTCACGCAGAAGGTGCAACCCGAGCAGGATCAAGATCGTGAAAAGAAACGACCTCTGGCCTCGCCTTAGCACAAGCCTTGCAGAGAACGTTCGTGTCCGGGAGGACTTCACCGACCGATGAACAGTCCGTCAAGGCGAACTTGTTGCATGCAGTGAACTCTTCATTCGAACGAGAGTTGCAATGATACTTGTACTCGTACGAGGAACCCGTCGACGGCTTTTTGATGAAGAACTTGAGGATCCCGAGGTCCGCATCCGGAGCATCAAGGAACAGAGTGTCCTCGTTCTCTTGTGCTGGGTGCGACTCTTGAACAAGATCTTTGACGAGCTGCTTCACCATCAAAGCTGCAACTGCCGAGCGGTTTCTGGTATATTTGAGGACCAGCGGGCCAGGGTTCTTCCAATTGGCCTGAAGTTCAATTTCTTCAGTCGATCGACCTGCGTGAACTGCTGCGTCAAGCAACGTAACACGACATGAATGCATGGTGAGCTTGCTGATCTGAAAAGCGCACTCGACCTGTTCTGTCTTCTCAAGCTGATGAGCTTCATCGACTGCCTTCCGACTGAGGAACTTCATCCACTGTAAGGTGCGAGCGAACGTGGGTGGTACTGTCTGAAAAGATGCCTGTGTGTTGAGCTCAGGGATCCAAAAATCTCGATCCAGGTTGGGCAAGGTCTTGAACAAAGCCCAGCCAACTTCAAGCCACGTCGAGCATGAAAAGCCGATATTCGGTACGACGAAGCGAGTGCCCACACGTTTCCGCTCGACCTTCGTTTGCCAAGACACCCCGAAGAGTCCTTCCTCTTTCATCTCCAGCTCGAGAGGCCTGACGTGGATGGCATCGTCGAATCGGAGGGAGGCGAAGATCATACAAAGGATCCACCAAATGAACACTCTAGCTGCCGTAGGGCGCTTGTCGTCAAGCACCGCCTCCTCGAGCAAAGAAACTACCCGAAGTGGGAAAGGTATGGCTTCCTTGAGGGTCTTTGCACGATCGGCCATGACTGTAGCTTGGAGTGCAAGGAAACGATGGTCCTCGAAACTGGGGGGATCGATAGCTAACCGAGCACACACCCACTTCACGGCAGCTCGAAAGGTAGGAAGCACTGAAGGTCCGCTCACGAGCGTTCAAAAAGAGGCCGTACTTCAGAACCTTGTCGAGCGGGCAAAACGAACCGTCGAGAGTGCTTGCCCACCTTTCAAAACGTTCGAACGTCTTCACATGAGCAGCCATAGTTCTATGAGCACCTGAAACCAAGACCAAGTTCCTGACCTGAATCTTCTCGGCTGGTGAAAGATCAGGGCCGAGTTGAAATTCATGGAACAACTTGGCATGAACACCCGCACGCAACCCGATCTCCTCAAGTCGAGCTGCCCACCGCCTCTTCTCCGATTTCTCACGATCGAGTAAAGGCGTAGTGGACGAAGACGCCTCTTCTGGCCCTTTCTTCGAACGTTTCGGATGAGACACAGGCTTTAAGGTTAGAGCTGCAATCGCTGCTCGCTTTCTCAGCGACGCTGTTGGATCTTCTGGTCGAGCGACCACTGCTGACTCACAAAGGCCGAAACCGAGTTGTACGGCAGTGGACTCGAAATAAGCTTTTTCAACCGAAGAGGCAAGTGTCCAGAATTGTTCCAACATGAGCTCCCTTCCCTCAAACACGGTCGCGATCGATTCGTCCAAAGTCCGTGCAAAATGAAGCGTCCGATCGACAAACTCGAGCCCGTTCGCAACCTCCATCGCTGATACGAATGCCAGGTTGCCCAAAGGCGACCTCTTCACCGCCTGAGCAAATGCGACATCGAACACGGGCAAATCGAGGATGCGCGAAACCCACCGATCGGTGGTGCCTGACATCGCCGGCTTTCGAGCCTGAAACGACAAGCAAGGTTCACATCGAGCGATCGGACTCGAGCGATACATGGTGCGTGAAAAGAGCTCCCACGCTCACGTGAAGAAGAATCTCAAATTGAAAAACTTATGATCACTTGATGTGCAAAATGAAAGTTCTCTCTCATCTCAAACACTAGTGTTGATCAAATCAAAACAAATCAAATTCTACCCCGAGAGGGAAACATCAGACCAAGAGTGTGCAGCGCCTGCTACATGTTAAGTACGACAGGTGCGAGCGCCACTCTGGTGAGAGACCCTCTGGGGTCCCACAGCCCTCCCAGCTGAGAATCTTGCCTCACACGCGAGCGCGTTCTTACGAGGGTCTCGAAGTGCCGATCGGCGTGATCGAGTGCACAAATCAAGACACAACTGCAAGAACTGCTGCAAACAGAAATGAGGTCAAAAAGGAAATCTTCAACACTCGACCGAATTGTTTGAAAGTTTCTTGGCTCAAGCGAACTTTCACCTTCTTCGAGCTGGTTGAAGAACCTGCTAATTGAAATTGGAACGATCAAAAGCCGCTCGACTTTAGACATCTGTCACATCTGGCCGAGCCGGGGTAAAAGATTTGGGCCGTCGATCACCCTGATCTTCTTCCACCTCATTGATCCTCACCGTAGAGGTCTGAGCAGACCTCTGAGGGGGATGACTCCCAAACCGGCGGGCAGCGTCGACGAACGCCTGAGGTGTCATGGCAGAATGATCAAGGCTGTCAGCCCTGCGCTGATCCAGCGTCCTCCTCGATGGAGCCAAAGAACCCCCAGTCCAGGAGCTCGGCGTGGGCGATTGCCCTGGAGCTGTAATCGATGGAGCCACGCTGCTGACCGGCACAGGACCTGCCGAGAATTCTGACGGAGCCTGAGGATTAGATAGGGCTGGAGCCAGCTTGGGAGCACCATCCAAAGGCCGCACTGTCGGACCGTCCACAAGTGGTGGTACGATACTTGCGACGACCTCATCCAACGGATCGTGCGATTGCAGAGCGAGAGCTTCAGCCTTCACGATCACCCTGTCCTTCTTGAAGAAAGGAGACTCGCAGACGAGGTGCAAGTTGAGGGCATTAATCAATTGGACTCGACAGGGATCGCTGATACCCGCGGGCCCGTGTCCTCCTCCGTGGTGGCCTCGGTCTTCGCCGTCCAGTGAGCATGGATTGCGGCGAGCTGCGCAAATTGTAGGGCTTGATCAGGACTCTCGACCCTGGCACCATGCTCACGTCCCCAAGAGGCGCTTCTGATCAAAGTAGGTCCTGAAACCCTGCTGAACACAAGCCACGATGGTGGTACGCAGGCCAGACTTGCACTGACGTCAAGCCGATCGGCAGCTGAGAGAAATCGGAATTCCAATCTATCTGCGTCGGCTCCGAACGAGTCAGGCGACGACGTGGCCACGAAGCGGCATTCGAAGTGGCATAGAGGAAAGTCTAGTGCCACAACGATGCCTCCTTCAGAGCACAGATATAGGCGACCGCCAACCTCCCATGAACATGCTATCACTCTCCAGCCTTGGAAGACCGTGACCACGATCGATGGGATGAGCGCACCATGAAAAGGCTGAAGTGGTAGCCACTTGAAGGAGATCTCACCAGGGATCTGTCAGACTTGATGTTCACATAGGACAACGCGTTGGTGAGCACCTCATCGATCAGCCAGCCTTGGAATGGGCTCTGAATACGATTGTCACGATTGTCCATGATCAAGACTGAGCGCTCCCCTTCGTTGGAGCCAACTTGAGAAAGGTGACCAGGGAGCTGTGTATCGAGCGGATTGTGGGCTAGGTCTCCTGGAGACATTTGGCCCCACCTGAAAGCTCGTCTGCCTCTGCGAGCCGCTTGTTCTTGTTGGCGACGAAGGCGCCTCGAGGCAGGAACTTCATTTGCATGACCCAGTATGCTCTGAGCCGCTTGCACTGCAGGAGCCGCATTGGTCGCCGGTGGGAAACTTGAAGAAGGTCCACCAGGAGGTGGTGGTGGAGGCACAACATTGGGCTGAGCAGCTTGTGTGGCTTCAGAACCGGGAGGTTGAAGAACCTGTTGATCCTCAGGCACTTGAGGCATAGAACGAGCTCCAAGACCATGAGCATCCTCATCCAAACGACACCATGAACTCACAGAGCTGGAGTCGTCCCATCGAGCCGAAGCATTAAGTGCCTGTCTTTGAAGAGCTGCAGGTTGACCACGGCTGGAGCCGCTTTCGAAGGGATCTCGCTCTGAACAGAGCTGCTTGATGCCATGGCACGATCGAAGAAAACCCCAGGCCCGTTGACCTGAAAAGCGAATGAATTTCCTGGCGAGCGTGCCACCCTTTTCGCCAAAATGGCAGACGGTCGTCACGAAACTGAATAGTTTAAAAATAAAGAAGTGAATTACCGAAAGGTTACCTGAACAGTTCTCTAGAGAGTGACACTGGTGTCCCAAGCCTACCTAGCCGATAACACCAGCCCAATGTATAACGACTTCTTAGAAACCACATCCAAAGGTATCCAAAAAGCACTAAATCAGTACCAAATGTTGCCCAAAACATCCAAACTGATAAAACATCCCTCAAGGCATTGCAACCAAAAAGAACTGCAAAACACGTCAAACAACACATGGCAAAGACCTCCAAACAAATGGATTTTTCGTTCATGTCCACCTCCTTCTTCGGTTCCGCTTCTTCGGCCTTTCCCCGGGACCGACCCGACCTCGGCTCCACGGCTCGGAGCGACCGCTCTCCGCGCCTCGGCGTGGCCGCCCTTCGCCTCCAAAAGGAGCGCGAGACTGAAGACGGAGTTCAGGGTGTCCGGATGACCGGCTCCCAGTTGAGCGTCTTTTCCTGCCAGCGCCCTTCGGTAAAGGCCTTCGGCATCTTGGAGCTTGCCCTGCTGATACAGCAACACCGCAAGATTGTGGACAGACGTCAATGTGTCCGGATGATGAGCTCCCAGTTGAGCTTCAAAGCCTGCCAAAGCCCTTCTGTAAAGGCCTTCGGCCTCGTCGCGCTTGCCCTGGTAGTTCAGCACCAACGCAAGATTGTTGACAGACCCCAACGTGTCCGGATGCATACGCCCGAGCAGCCTCTCCCGTCCCTCCAAACCTCTCCTGGAAAACAGCTCAGCCTCTTTCAGTTTCCCCTGCCGCCTCAAGACTAACCCGAGATCGTTCACCGACTCCAGGGTCTCCGCATGCATCTCTCCCAGCACACGTTCACGTCCGATCACAGCTCTTCTGCACAAAGTCTCAGCCTCCGCCAGGTTCCCTGCGTAATACATCGTCTCCATCAGTTTGTGCACCTCTCTGAGGGTCGCCGTTTCGTAATTCGCCAGGACTCGCCGGCACAGCGGCTCCGCCTTGGCACAGTCACCGCGCGCCGTCAGCGCGTTGGCCAACCTCGGGGCGACGGGGGGCGCAAGGGCCGAAATTTTGCAGTATTCCAAAAGAATGCTGAAAATGAGTGGAAATTTACATCGACTATCTGCTTTAGCTTTAGTTCATAATCTTGATTAATTACATTACATTGTCTGGTTGGTGAAAAGACCAAGGCCCCAGCCGGCTTGATGCCTTGAGGGTTTCAAAATGCTCTGATCCCAGTCTCTCTTCGATAGCTTTGGCACGGCAGCGGACCCTTGGCTAGAGAAAAACTCACCGAAAAATGGGTTGAACGTTGGGCTACAGCGTGTTCTGTCCAGAATGCAAAGCTTGGCAGTAGTGGATGGAACTCCTTGCAACTCATGTTTTTGGAACCCTGACTCAAACAGTCTCAGCCGCAGCATACAAATTTCTAGATGGTAAATGATTGGTTTCTCATCGCAAACAAGCATCGCTTCCATCAGCACTGCCCTGGCATTGCCAACCTCCTCCTCCGTGTCTACTCGAATGACGAAACACTGTCGAGGCGGCATACCATCTTCGTTGAGCGGCATTCCAGCTAAATTCCTCGGCAGAAATTAGCCCAGTATATCATTCCCCAGGCAATGTAAATCTAACAGCGGTCCCACTGTCACTGTATCACGCAGTCACATCTAGGAGATGCAAACATACGCAAACTAGGTGTGCGGCACACCAACGGGCTTTCCCTGTCAAAAGAGAGACTGGCGACAGGCAAAAGTAATCTTGCACTCCTCCAAACAAACCTTGAGCTGCCAAAGACATACACAACTAGTGGTTGGAATCCGCCCCTCCACTTTGCCTGCTTGACCATTTCAGGCGTTCGTCTCTTCGACACATCATAGGCCATGGATGCGTTGACGAGGATGGGGATGCAGAAGGACACCCGCGATCTGTATTCCTCTGTCACAAGATTTGAAGAGGCATCTTCTGGTGACTGAATCACGCCGCAGCAAAAGGACATCAAGGAACAACCAGGAGCTCTCCTTCACAGCTGCCTCACGACCCTTCAAGTCAATGTCGCGCTTGAGCATCCTCCTATAGTTGTTATCTAGCAGTCTTTCGAGATTGGGCCACTCATCTGGGGGCTTCTGTACGGAGTAAACTCCTGGCACGTGCAAGTCTCTCATACAAGTGTTCATGTGAGTGAGTGCACCTCCACAGTTCCTTCATGTTCCTTCTCTGCTCTTCACTTTTGCATGAACTGTGAGAAACTCTGTGTTCACTTTCTGGTATGCATTTCTGATCTGATCAAGGTTTTTGTTTCAATTGCAATCGGCAAGTAAACAGTCCTGCCCCCCACCAAGCGTTGGCCTTCTCACCGGTCGTTATCAGAGAAGCCTGCGGATATGCAAACGCCGGCAGCTGACTAAAAGGAATGCCTGAAATCAAAGACATGGACTTTTACATAAGCTTCATGAATGCTGAGGGCATCGCGAAGAGTTCCACTGCCGTCTTCCTCAAATCCGTAATATTTTTAAAGCCAAGCTCGTTGGTGTAGTGGAACAAACATTGCACATCGCTGGCATCGTCGGCTTGAGTCAAGTCAAGGGCATCCTGCCAGACCTGAGAGAAACTTCTGTGGCTTCGTATCTCAGCAGGTGTGCAATGTGTGTCAAACAAGAACAAATGCCACGCAAAAAGTGTACATGCATGTTCCATCATTTTCCCATGGCACCTTCACATCCAGTCTGGTGTGGAGCCAGCACCAGTCTTTCGGGTCATGCCGGTACTCTTCATGATCGAACAAACGGCCTTGCTTGTAGTTTTTCTCAAAATAATCTTTCAGACTGGCCTGGGGCAAGGCAGTGAGCCACTTGCGCAAAAGAGTTGCAAGAAGATTGACTGGACTTCTGCGTACTCTTGAAAGCCTTGAAAGCCCACTGAGTTTTGAAGTCACACTCCCGCGATCACCGCAGCGGCACACTATCAGCGATGCTTGCAACAAGACCATAAAAGGGAGGGGTAAGTGTAACTTGGCTCAAATAGATTCGAACGTTAGGCAAGGAATTGCACACGTTAGAGCTCGCTTGAAACTCAGAAGATTCCGAAGCATCGACAACGCTTGAAGTCCCAGAATTTGAGCCCAAGCCTTGGAAACTTTAGGCACCTTGCAAGAAAACGTGCGCACTTTGTACGTATCGGTGTGCTCTTCAAGATCTAAACAAAGTGTGTGTGTGTGTGTGTGCGTGGGCGTTGAAGCTGGCTGTAGTCGAGTCTAAAAGTTGGTCTTCGCATCTCTGTGCACGTGTGTCGTGTGAAATCCTCATCAACACACCTTGTGAAGTATCAATGTGCAAAGCAAAGCAATCGTCCCCATGCTGCACTCTTTAGCTAACGGAGCAAATGGAAGAAAAAACACCAGCGAAACACGAGCGCCGTCTCCAGTCTCTCCGCCTCGGCTTCGGAGGCGCCGGTCTCGGCTTCGGTCCGCTGCTCCTGGGCTCTCGGTCTTGCCAAACGAGGTTTCGGTGCTTACGTTGCATCTCAAGGAAGAACAGCTGAGGTAGACCCAAAGGAGAACTCCAAACCAGGCAGCAGACCAACCGTTTCGAGTGACTACGGACGCGGTATGAAAGTAGTATGTAAAATGTATGACGTATCTTTCCAAGCCAAACTCTTGATCCCCTGATTATTCTGCATCCGCTTCGCACCCGATCCGCGTGCTTCCCCCGGAATGCGGGCAGATCGGTGGAATGTCTGATGCCAACACGCTTCCGGCGGATCACGGTGGATCTCGGAAAAGCTGCAGTTGTTCGGTAGTCTACACCCTACAGCAAGGCGCTGTCAACATGAGCCACCGCTACTTTGAAAATGGCATGTCAACACTTGTTGAGATATCTGATGGTCCCTGCCTTGGTCTCTTTTTGAGCTTCCTTTGGCCTGCTCAGTTGTTCCTTCCGCACCTGTCAATTTGAATGTACAGTGGTCGGTAGAATGTCCAGATTGTCACTGCACATGTTTGCAGCCATGTCTAGCCAGGTCGGACATTGGACCACAAGAAATGAAAACACCCAGGCAAAGGTGCAGAACTAAGAAGGCGAGGAACCTACAATATGTAGCAACTACCTAGCAGTTGAGTGCGAGCCAAAAGTCGTCTGGGCAATTTCAGACAAATGTCATCGGTTGATGGTTGTAAACAGGTCAAGTCATAAGAGTCAGGAAATAGCAAACACAACGATTCGCCAATCACTTCAGGCTGCTTCCAGCGAGGCACCATAGAACAACATGCTGGAGGAAGAAAAGGACAATAGGTATGCAACGAGTAGCTGCAACATGCTTCAGCACAAGTCATCTACTTTGTCTCATCCTTGGAACAAGCCAAGGGAATCCAAAATACAAGCAAAACCCTTGTGGCAAATACGCTTGTGTGTGCCCGTGTCTTCGCCTTAACCTCCTTTCCATTGCTGGACGAGCTCGGCTCCTCATTCTGCGCCTGGAGGAAAGCGAACGGCTTCAAGAGTTAGGGGAAAAGCTCCTTGTCTTGATGTTCAAGCTCCATGTCCATACGGCTCATGTGGACTTGTTGCTGCGCTGGATGCCACCCACTAGAAACAAGCTGAGACTTTACCTGCAGGCGAAGGACACGATGCCACGTCGTACAGACCAACAAGAGTGGATTGTAGATCATTGGCGGCCCAAAAACTTCCTTTTTTGCTCACCAGCTCTCGTGAACGCTATAAGTGCACGCAGGAATTCCCTTTGCGACGCCTCAAATCTTGAAGGCTCCTTCACATCCCTCCCTTCTCTCACACGGCTTTCGGCTTTGTGTACCTTACCGGGCATTCACCAGAGTCAATAAAGGCATCTGGTGTTGCGACGCAATATCATCAAATATCAATACATATCAATACTAGGCAGTGAGGCAAAGAAAACTATCAAGGACAGTCTGTTGACGTTACCCTGAACCTGAGAGCGTGTGCATGAAGAGCAAGCACCACACGTTGTTAAGAATTGCACCTCACCTTCATGCACTTTCTTGCTTGTTTAGCATGTTTGTGTACAGTCGTTGAGCAGTGAAACAAAAGACATCTTTCATAGCGGTGTGTATTGTTGGTCGAGTCAATTCCAACAACCTTAGCTTGCAACAACATGTGTAGTATGTTACTTAAGTAGGAGAAAGAAAACAACGTTTATTGTGTTCGCAAAAATGCTCTTTAGGATGCCCATGAACACAAACATGCTAAAGTATTGCGCAAAGCATGACATTCACTGGAACAACAAGTCTTAAAGCACCGCGCGCACAGCAGAAGACAGAGAATGGTGCACCCTGCAAGTCGTTTTGTTGAAGAGAATCACTGCAGTCCACCATAGGAGAGATTCGCACGGCCGTTTTGTGGCAAAAGACAACCAAGCACATCTACTAATCACAAGCACGCAGCAAAAGCATTCTGTAATATTATATATTTATCTTTATACCGTAAGCTCTTTGCATCTCGTCCGATCATTTAGAAGTTGCAACAGTTGGATTCTGGCCCGTGGTGGATGCTTTTCTGCTGCAAAAAATAAACCTCCCACTGTGCACCTCGGAGGTGAAGAGGATATCCAAGAAGTCTTTCACGCCTCAAGACTTGGTTGGTTACACCAGCTGTCTTGTTGCGCGCGCTTTCAGCTGGGCATCTCATCACTATTTGTTAGACAGGAGATTCTCCTTGTGGACTACTCTTGCCCATCCCTGCCAAGCTGCGAATCTGTGAGTCTTCTGGGTAGTCCTGCGGATCGGTCAGGGCTGCACCCAGCAAGCCAAACAGCGAGAGGAGACCAACCTAGGGCCCTAGGGTGAAATGTGATGAGTTTACACATACTCGAAGAGTTCCGTCTCCCGGTTCCGCCCACCGTTTGAACATCTCCTGCAGAAGGACATGGGCCTCCTGCAATGTGCCACAAACTTCCTGAATCATTTCGATGTAGCCTTAGGATGTCACACAGCTTGGACAGCTGATGGACTGTCGATTGGTTTCCTAATTATATAGTTTGATACAACAGAACGTCTGGAACACTCGCCACGGCCAAACAAAATCCAAGTCAGCTGCAGAGTCAAAAAAAGAACTGTGCTAGAATATCAACATCGACTCCTCCCGAAAGCACTCGAGTTCTACACCCCAAATCAGAATCCAACCATGCCTGGCCCAAGCTCACAGCTCCGACGCAACCTTGAAAAGTCTCCCCAAAACCGAGGAGCTTTGCCGTTCCAGCGAAAGGCCATCGCCACCACCTCCACGTGCCATCGCCTCGAAGATCGCTTCCACCTGCCCGCGCAACTCCTCGGCGCATCCGGGGAGGATCGGACGAAACGGCCGGAAGACAGCGGGCTTGAGGACATTGGTCTTAGGATCTTCTTGGGATCCCAAAAGGAAAAAATCGCAAACAAAAAGGGAAGTTGCAGGGTACAGTCTTGATGCTTTGAGGCTTTTGAAAGGGGATTTGAGCTTTTTGCAAAACATGACCCTCTCTTGAGTCCTACTTGTAACTTGTGACCAAGTGGCAGACATGCTTTCCAAAACCCACCAAGCACTTCTGCCTGCAAGGCAAAGTTGCTCTGCACCAAGCTAACTGTTCAACTAAGTGAACTTGGGCACTTGAGCAGGTACTGGCAGTATAATGAAAACGCTAACTGGTTCAAAGTACAGTAACAGCCGCAAATCTGCGAATCTTTGTGGAAGTATTCCCTTCGCACAGCTGCAAAGGCAGTGAAGAGCCACACATTCTCAGGACATTCCAAAACGAAGGAAGAAGGCCTTGTAGGCCAGTCTTTCCAATGGGAACATCATAGGGTTGACAAAGATTGAAAAATCAAGTGTACAGAGAGTTCGCAGTAGCCAGGGACTTTTCGTTGTCCTTCTCAAGCAAGGCTGGTCTCGGCTAGAGTGCCATGACACGGGTCAGAAGTTCAGAAGCTTCGAAGCTCGTAGAAACCACATGTTGTCAGCAACATGATGTAAGAACCTCCGCTCCTGCTTGAAAATTATAATAACCGAGAATTACAATAACAAGGTACCTGTCGTGTACTTGTCTCAAACTCCACTTCTATGAACGTCACAACCGTCAAGTGAGGAACATCTCCCAAGTCCCACACCGAGCCTGAGCGGTTCTGAGCGCCTCGTTGCGCCACACCTCCGATCGCCGAGCCTGGGCGGGTGGAATCTGTCCCAAGACGAAGATCGTGGGCGGTTTGTAAGCACGATTCATGGCGCAAAGGGCCACCTGCTCAGCCATTCCGCCATACCTCTCCCAAATGCCAAATAACAACATGAAGATCAACAGCACAACACCTGGTAAATTTGCAAGGCCACAAGAGCCCAAGCTCTTTCCGCAGTTGAGCCCCTTGCCATTCTGGGAGTGTGCATCGGCCGGTTCAGCTGCCTTGCAACCAGGCACACCCTGGGTGCGTTAAACATCCATTTGGCAACGAATCAGTGTTTCACTTCTCATACTACCTTCAACCTTCCTACTGACACTGTTAAAACATGGATAAAACAGACTCTCCCCATCAAAGCCTTAAAGCCTTCCGAGACCATTTCATGAATTTCTCATGTCTCATCCAAAACGGCTCGGCCGCACCTCGCTGGGGACCACAGCGGTGAAGTTGCTGCCATGCTGCGCCGCCTGCGCTGGCCGCGCCGAGCCGCCACTGCCCATGGCCTGGTCGCAGGGGCCAAAGCATGCGTCGTTGAGTTCTTGGGAAAAAGGAACCGAACTGAGGTTGAACCTTCCAACTAAAGGGGACATAGGGGGCAATGTATTCCAAATGAAATGCATGTTCTTTAGGATCGGGAAAGTGGTGCGGTTTCTTTCATATCAATCTTCATTGGGGGTCTGGTGCTCTTCAGGCATTGTCTGCCATCTGCTCCAACGCATGGTCCCTCTGTTCATCCCATGTACACCCGACTATGCAATACTGGTGGACGCTGCTGGTATGAGTTCCACAACTTGGAAGACGCTTTTGAAAATCCACGCTGCAAACCACCGTAAACTATGCCAGTTCCAACATATCCCACTTGGCAACTTTGGGCCAGCAAGAATGTTGGAGAAATCCTTACGAAGAACGGTCCATGGGCTCTGATATGGTTCTGAGCTCCAACTTCGCTGCAATACTACATAGCCTCCCCTCACATATATCAAAACATCAACAAGCGCTTCTCCCAACTGTGTGTTTCACGCACCCTGCTACCTATGTGGCCTGTCTAATCTCCGAACGTCTTTGGACCCGGTCCAACCGCTTTGGGCCCGTCCCTCGCCACGAGCGCCCAGCGGAGCGCAGCCTGGCTGCGCCCCGGAGATCAGCGGTCCAGCCGAGCCGACGGCGCTGCCGGCGATCAGCGCCCAAGGACGGTGATCAGACCGATGTGGAGCAAAAGAACCGGGTGTTTTCTAGTTTTTGGGGCGGAGAGGGTTTGGCGTTTGAGATGCTTTTGATCAGAGAATTCCGGAAGGTGCGTGGAAGTGGATGAGGCAATTCGCTTTAGGTCTTTCATTTTTTAGAGGGCCCACCCCCCTCCCAGAGCAGCAACTTAATTTGATACTTTAGTGAGTAGTTCTTTAGAAGCATCATCCGATGGCTTGCTTTCAGGTTACATCATCTGAAAACCCTCTTGAGAAACAACTTATGGGAGTGGAACATCTGCCCAAAGTCCCAGGTGAAGCCAAGCCTTCACCTAAAAGGAAAAAGATGTTCATACTTACGTGGTCTACAAATTGGAAACAAGATGAGGAAACCACTGTGTCTGTGCCCTCAAGGACTCCTCAAGTTCCCAAAACATAGAGTTTCTCTGCTGGCGGAAGGGAAACATATCATGTTGTCGGCTACGTTCGTTCGAAACGAAATTGGGAAACCCCTGTGTTTTGTGCCTCAGTCCTCAGGGACTTTCCGAGCTAACATAAAGTTTCTCTGTTGGTGTTTGGGCCAAAGCTTTGAACTGCAAGTTGCTTGCCTCAAGGGGAAGAAATGCTAAATTGAAAGCATGCATATTCTCCATTAAGTTCTGCTACTGTAGGCTTGCAACAACAGTGCCCTTGCCGTGAACTTTGTGAGCTACCAGCTACCAGTACTGAAGAAACCAAATCTCAGGTGAGTAGATTGTGTAGGTGTCGTGCTTTCGCTGCGTTGTTGCTGCAACTGCAACTCGAGAAGTGCTGCTGATGCTGCGGCGCGCAATCGCATTTCTCTCCACACGCTCTCAGAAACAGTTGGGGATCAGACAGCAGACCGGTCGTCTTGTTCACCCAACTCGAACGGCCAGAGGTCGTCAACGTCAATGGATTGGTGGCACCAACAGTGACACACCGCAGCGGAACATCCGGCTCAAGAGACCCACATCTTCGGGCGGAATGGTGGTGCGACATGTCATTGCTATCAGGTCAATTCGACCCGTTTTAGCTGGAGAAAAAGCAAGGCCCCAAATGCATCAAGAAAAAGGATCCTTGTAGAAAATCCCTGCAGTATCCTGCAGTCCTTTATGTATGTGCAGTCGCAGTGTGGGAATCCTGGTGAACCAGGGCTTTCGGTGTGGCACAGCGGCCTGGGGAACTTCGACCAAGGTTGCGCCCCCCTGCATCTGTCGAGACCTCCAACCGCACCGGATCCATGTCGGAAGAAACTTCACTGTCTGGATCCCCCGAGTGGATTCCAAGGACCCGAGTGCACTGCATGGTGAAGGAAGAAACTTTTGGGAGGATGGCGCACCCAACTCCTTACCCTGGACCACCCAGCATTTGGGCGGCTTGGAGTCGGCATTGGTCGCATTTGAAAACAGACATATCAGATCGGAGTCTCTTGGGGGGGTTTGTGAGGCGGTGCAGGAGTTGGTCAGGGAAATCCCGGCAATATGTGGGTCCTATCCAGTTTGTGTTAGACCCCAACAAACGACATCTTTGTGTGTGGTCGACTCACACCACCCTTGTCTACCTTACCTTTGGTCCTCACATGGTCAACGAAACATCTCCAGACCCCTGCAGCGCACCGCCTGTTTTGACCCTCCGCAGGGCGCGGTTCCGGTGTCATGTGCCGAGTCCAGGTCGATGGTCGGATCCGTTGGATGCAGGTGGAGTCGTGCTTGTTTGGGGACGATCCTCCACGATGCGGCCAGGGCAAAGGTCAAGATGTAGAATCATTAATGTAGAAGGTAAACGCCTGCAACATGATGCAAATCTAGAAGCCTAGTGATGAACTCGTAACTCGTATGTCGTATGTCTGGAAAGCCTCTAAAAAGTTGGTGAGTACCCCGCAGAAACATGGTAAACTTGCATGCGCTGAGACTGAATACTGAAAATGTAACAGAACACTCTTTCAAAAGGCCCATGCTTTTCCACCTCTCGATCTTTCGTTCCAAAACAGGTCACGCAAAATTCAAAAAGGAAGTATATAGCTAGAATGTCACAACATCCTCCATCCTCCGCCCCTAACCAATTTCCGCACCTCAGCCGGCGGCGTGCTTCCGTCGGAAGCGCTCCAAATGTCTGCGGCTGCTTTGCGTCTCCTTGTGATCAGGGCCATGGAGCTCCTGCACGGCTCTCGGTATACTGGAGACGCCAGGTCCAGGTGACAGAAGTGAATCAAAATTTGATGGATGAAAAACCTTTTGCATCCCCTTTACTATCTTTACTCTGTCGAACTGGCTGAAAACCACACGTGAAAACCACACGTGGTTCATAAACTAGACTGATGGGAGACTGCATGGGCTGGAAAGACAATGAACCCTTTTCCACCCTGTCC